ACAAAAGCATGGGTTTATTTGCTGTTGGAGAACGAGACCTACTGAATCTGGAGGGTTAATGAAGAAAAATTGGTTGGAATTGCTTAATTGAACAGAAACAGTATTCTTCAAAACTTCAAACATTTTAAATTTCCTCCTCCGAAGTGAAGAACATTGTTGGAGATTTTTTAGTATATAAACTCCAAATCAGTTACAGAACTTTAGTTACTTAGATGGGGTGTATTTTTCCAGCGGTAGATTCTAGCTATGTAAAATATGTGTGCGATTTAGCAAATATAAATCATGTTTCACAACATATTTTGTGCATATAATTGAACGTAACATGACACAGTCGGCATATCTGGCGGCACACTCCTTTGCACGCCTGATTTACGACCAAAAACTATGAACTGTTTATTATTAAGCTATTTATCACTCGTCTGTGCGAAAAAAAAACCGACGGCCAACTTGTCGAGTTGTTTCTCAGGAATTTCTCATTTCGAACCAGCACCGTTTTCACATAGTTGCTCGCTAAGTTTGACTCAGCTACATGTTTTCCTGCTTACGCATATTTTCAGTTTGAATTGATTTGAATGAACGAAGGGTTTTTCAGCTGAATAAACCCCAATTTTATTTGAAAATATTGCGGAGTAACAATAAAGCGAAATGTCTCACAATTTCCTCCGCAGAGCTAAAAATATTCTTTCTTCGTTGCGAGGGCAACTAATCATTCGCCTTGATTAGAACGAGACCATTTTTCCACAAACCCTCCCTTTGTACGTGATCGGAAGTCTTAACTAGAATATTGTGCGTTTGCCACACAAATGTTTCGAACCGAACCTTTTCATCCTTATAATTTTCCGGGAAATGACATTTTCTATCATTCCAGATCCTCCACTCTTTCATTACGCTTTATTAATAATAACCGCCCATTTCTCCTGCCGCATTGATGAACCTGTTTGACTTCAAATCCCCAAAGTTTGGATGTTTTAATGAATGATCTTGTCGGGCTATTTGGGAAATATTCGAAGAATTTCCGTATGTTCTGTTATGTAAGAAAAAGTTCTCATTGCGCTTATTGGTTAGATACACGAAAGTCTCCGATCCTTTCAAGATAGGAACGCATTAAGTGACAATAAAGGCCATTCAATAAACGCTTGAAGGGCAAACATGCCCAATTATTGAAATACTTAATGGCACATTTTCCGATAAAAAACGCCGTGAATGGAAACGAAAAGTTAATAATCATTAACACCTAACTTATGCTGATGAAGTTGGGTATTTTTGGTTATTTGGTCGTTAGGGATTTGGTGTTGACGTTTCGGTAACACGCATACTGAGCATCATCAGAGCTTTATTTGCTTCGGGTGCTCACACTTTGATTCGAGTCCAGAGACTGAATTTCCCATTCAGGAACGTAGTTCTCTCTCTCGCACCCATAGGAGTCTATGAGAGGTACACCATGGCTGAGGGCTGCTATGTTCGAAATTGATACCCTCAAATTGCTATCGACTACAGATTAATAACCGGAACGCTGATACGAGTAGCTGTGTGTTTTAACTCCTGTTTTCCAAAGAGGCAAATATTTCTTGAAATACGTTTCACCCTCAATATGCAGAACAAAGTGCGTGCCGTGAAAAAGAAATAAGCAAATTCTAGTGCCATCATCTGTCTGGATTTAGGCGGATAGAGGGGTGATTTATCCACGTTAAATAGTTCTTGGGGATATAAAATTCAGCATCGTTATCTGAACTGCAACCGTTTCCGGTGTGACTCAGGGAAAAAGTCGAAGACAAAAACCGTGCCATTTCCAAATATAAAACGGCTTTAAACCAGTACATCTATTTAATAACCCTAAATTAACATTTTAAAGTTGGGTATCCTTTCGCGCCCTAATATTTTACGTGCGCCCTCGGGCTTATAAGTTATCTACCTCTCAGGGCGCAGAAGAGCCCTAATTAATTCTGAACTCCGTTTCGTTTTCCAATTTATAATGAAACACGGAAAACTCCTTAGCCGAAATTTATGGAGTTATTTGTATGTACACAGCGCCGACGAGGTTAAGAAATACGCAAAGCCTTCCCTTCAAAAAAATATAAAAAGAAAACACCCAAATGCATTGCGGTAATAAGTCGAAATCAGCCCGAAGGGGAGTAAAAGTTCCATGTCAGGCTGGAGTTTTAGGCAATTTTCCACAAAATATTAATATGTAATATTTCCCCCCTAACGGCAAATAATCAATTTCCTGATTAGCCATCAGGACTAATCTGATAAAATCCGATTGGAAACAATTGAAACGAAACGCTAATTCGGATGCGATGAGGGCTGTTGGTTGGCAAAAAGTCAACTCCCATTTCCATTCTCATTTCATTCTGAAGAGTTCGGGGGAGAAAAGGAGTCTTGAGCACTCGTAATATTAAAAACAAACATTCTGATTCCGTCTTAGTTCGTTCACAGTTCGTCGAGTTTTGCGTCAATTACGATCGCGTTCTCTCTTGCTCTCTCCTCCCGATGATGCAATGAAAAAGCTCATCAACTCCGGACATGAAACCAGGTCGATAATTGGTCAATTATCCTTTGGAAATTATAGTAATGTGTCGCTCTAATGAACGTTAATAAACTTTTCCAATAATTTTACGGATCAGAGAGTGCTCTTGCTGACTACTGAAGAAATGAGGTTTGTTCGAGCAATATTCCGCAAGTAATCGGAGAATATTGAACTTGCAGCGGGGGCATTTGAACGAAGAAAATAGCCAAACTTCAGTTTCCAATCCAATCATCTGCAAAGCCAATATTGAACTGAAAAGAAACACACACATACGTATGGAATGGTTGTTTATTTAGTGCAACTAGACCACATTAGAAGCAAAAAGCATGCAAAGCGAGCATAGCCGAGAGAAACAAACATGGACAGATGGAAAATAATTACGATAGCGTATATCCAATGTGCTGTCAAATAAATGATGATGAAGCAATAGTAAACGTTAAGAGATACCCGGATGAATATTGAAACGTGCTTGTCTGGCCGCTTCAAAGTAATGACGACAATTATGAATCGAACTAAATGCAGCAAAAAAAACAGCTGGAATTACAACTGGAAAGCATTTGATTAACATCCTGATCGCAGTAGAAAGGACCGAGATGGAAGGAAATATTCTCAATACATTTAAACTTTGTTCATTTAACTTTGGTAGCGGCAAGAAGTCAAGATTCATAATATTTCGCAACTTTTACGGCCCAATATAAAAGGTAGCGGGTTAATTTTGATACAGCTACATGCACGTATATATAAAGCCGCATGTCAGTTCTAATCTGGCGAATGATGTATTATGGAGAGAAAGTCGGAAAGTTGAATATGTATTAGAAGTTTTCAGCGGTAGAACGATGCAATTTCGTGGGAAAACTTGAAAAATGCATAATAAAACTTTGCCCTCGCGTTTCATGGTGGCATTATCCTTGAACGGAAGCCATTATCTGTTACGAAACTATATATAGTGTTAGAGCAACGAATTCGTATTTAAATGCCCAAAGAACAGTTTTTTAAATTTTCATTTCAAGTGTAGATAACGACTTTGGTTAATTGATTATCTCAATCCCAAAAACAACACTCAACAAATACAGGTGGAGTTTACAAAACAAGCAGGAAAAGTTGAACTAGAAATTTACTTTGAGGATTTTTTTTAAATCAACGCTTTTTATGATGGCCCCTCGAAGCGTCGAAAGCATGCTATAAATCATCAAAAGCCTTTGGACGACACATTAAAAAAATAAAAATGTTTCTAAGTAACTTATGCATCAACAAGCAAATAGAAAACACAATAAATTGTCGTAAAAGAGTAATCAACTAAATGTGTAACATTTTCAGTTTTCGGAATTTTTCAAAAAATTTTGGGCACTCAGATGATTCCAACAAATTGTTAAAGACATCGAAATGTGGTGGAAAAAAACCACGTTACTGCTCAAGCTCATTTCAAACGCTAATCAACAGTTTTCCATCCGCAACCTTCCTGCCATTTCTCACAGTGTTTTCCTCACGCCGCGAGTCATTTGAGTGGCACTTTCAGTAAATCAGCGTCCACCACTGTAACAAACAAACCTGAACCAAAAAGCAACATATTCAAAGAGTGACCATAATTCTTCGCAAGCAAACAGATTGAGAGAAGTTGGCCTTTTTAATCTGGTGGAAAAGTTTTCCGTCGAATTTCCGCATGCATTTCGGGGCCAAAAGAGTCCCCTTTGTCGTCGATACAAATCTAAAGAATCCGGTGCGCTGTTTTGCTTAGTAAACTTTCAAATTTCAAGTTGCCTCGGTTCATAAATAAAGATATACTCGGCTTTGAATGCTTTCCGATTTTATTTGCCTTCTTAAGCGCATTGAGTGCCATTATTTTGTATTGTAGTGCACTCCGGAAATGCTCTCGACAATGCCGATAAATTTATCGACTCTCCAACTTTTCGGACCTGATATTGTTCAATTTGGACGTTCGATGGCCGGGACCATTTTCCACAAATGTAGCAAAACGAACGGAAAGTTCAATTCTCTGTTTGCAGCCATTTCGAAAGCATTAGCAATAGTTTAAACGCATTTACGCTTGCATAATTAGCTGTGTAGAGAGAATCAAATGGAATCGCCCGTTAGTCGGTTGCCGGTATGCCCACTTGGAAAAATGCCGTAAATTGCAAATTTCTCATAATGCAGCATTTTAATTAAAAGACGCACTCTCGCTCATTTTAACAAGAAAACATCATAAAATGATAGTTGCATAACGTTTTTAATGCGTAATGCACGTTGCAAAATCGCGTAGATTGCATCTGGGTGCATAATTCACGATTAGAGATGAAAGATACTCATTTCAGCATTATTTATTATTTTTATGCAGTCATTTTTCCTCGGTGATTAAACGGTTGTTTATTAAACCTGTATGATTTCCTGCTTTTACCATTCAAAGCGCACTTTTTCAACTCATTTCCATATTGTACGCTTAAGGGCATTTTCATAGCGATTTCAAAGCAAAACTTACCCCTGGCGTGCTGGATTGAGGCCCATATGGATATCTGGTCCAATCTAAGCTGGCTTCTTCTGCTGTTGTATCCAGAAGAACAACTGCAATGAAATAATAAAATAGTTAAATAGAAAAAAATACTTATGAGCTTTGGAGGCGGCTTCTAACGTGATTTTTGCCGCTTTCTTGCAATTATACGGCAGAAAACGGCCTTGCATGGAAACCAATAGTCATAAACTTAGAAAAAAAAACTTGATACTTCACTGGCTACTGTGTAGCCAGTCGCGACTTTTTATACCCGCGCCGTAGTTCTACTTCTAACTAATCGAGTTATTATTGTTAATTCCACCTCTCACTTTGGATTCTTTTTTGCACATTTGCAACAATCGATTGAAAATTAAGTCATCAAGACAAAATTGCTCTTAATTGCTGTTAAATTGTAACAATAATTACGGGCCATTTAAGCGGAAATAAAGAGGTTTTTATAAAAATTATTGGCAATCAATCCGTCGCTTTGAAATAGGCGCTTAATACGTTCAGGTTGGGGCAGTAGTGTTGAAATAGCATGAATTTTTTGTAATTATTTGATCTCTCTTGTATGACAACTGAAGGACGGAAGGAAGATTTACCGATGAAGCAAATTGCCTTCCTCAAATTAAGCGAGAAATGCTTTAAAGCCGGAAATACCGGACAAACTAACATGACATCGACCTGAAGAAATTCTGCAACGCTTCGAAAACCTTTTCGGTCCGCTTCGTTTCATATTTAAGCCGTCCATCAATTAATAATTTCCTAGTATTAAAGCGTAAAATTGTTCAAACAAATTAAATATTCGATTGGCATTTATTAGGAAAATGCAACAGAGAAAAAGCCAACTTGTGTGTGTCTATTGAAAATTAATTGTTAATTTAATATCAATGTAGGCAATTAAACCGCTCCTAATCGTTTACCATAAGTGACCTGATTTCGCATCTGCAGTCAATACGATCATAACCGTCCAATTAATTGCGATTCTTTCCGCGTATGAATGAGCGGGATCTATTCACAGTCCGACCCTGTTCCCGTTTTCAATAAAGAAACCTAATCAATAATAGCCTAATTGCTATGCAGATTGCATATGGCGAATAATGCATCTGTTTTGTTGCGATTAAACGCCAAACTCGCACTTATTCGCAGTGTCAACCCGGCCTTGACTTGAATAAATGAGAATTTTACTAGGAATTATTCATTCGAGATTGATATCGCACTATTTACTATCAAGACTGCTCTTTGCAAACCACTATCAATAAACAACAGTAGGCTGAAATGTTCATAAATCGCTTTAGTTGAAGTGTTATGGCTTGCTGTCTATTGCTTCAAGGAGTTGTGTATGTTTTCCATTTTTTCTGCATTTCAATGGATTTTCTATTCAAATTTCTATAATCAACACTAATTCTTCAGGAATTCTTGAAATGTTGGGGGGATCATCTAACGCAATTTCTGTATGCAAATACTGAATGACGTAAGTTTGCTCGAAAAAGGTCTGAGCTACCAGTTTGATTATCTCAAGCCAGTATCTGGCCAGGTGAGCTGGTGAATGGCCTTAAAGGCATACCACTTTTGTGTACTTTGTGTAAAGCGTAAAGATGGATTTCTTCGCTACGGTTTTTCTTCAATGTCCCGAGGATTCTTCAATGGCCTTATGGAAATCCGTGCTGGCCATTGAATGAAAAAACATGCAAATTTTATATGAAGTGTTGGGTTCTACAACAGTGAATGAATGAAACTACAATGTTTTCAAATTGTTTCCAAAGTCACTGGAAAACAGCGCAAGAAAAGAAAGACAGTTCGATTTTGCTCATAACTGGGAAAACTGTCCTCCATCAAATTCACTATTGCCACCTTCTTTACCTTCCAACCTGGTTATTTCCATTGACAATTTGAAAGTAACTAGGCAGTCCGATAGGCCTTCAACAGTCTTTCATTTTGCTTCTAACACTGTTCCTACCCGACCTTTGAAACTCCGAACACCAGCAGAATTTATTTGAAGCTTCTTTAATGGAAGATCTTTAACTTTTACTGAGGAAGAACATTTTTTCACCACCTTGCTGTCTTTCCTAGTGTAATTCCAAGAGTTGATTTCAAAACTGATATTCTTCTGGATAAGCTGAAAGATGAAAATGCAAAATAGGGCCAACTTTTTGCCGACCCTTAAAAGCAAATTTAGTCAGTCTGCCAAACGACACATAACATCATTTAGTGGAACTGGTGGAAAAGAAAAAAGTTGGCAGAATGGTTTTGAATTTTCCCTGGCGCGCTCTGAATGTGTTTATTGACGAAGAAACTGGGCGAAAACCAGATCGCATCAGCAATTGGACAAAGGAAAAGGTCCAATATTTCCCGCATAAATTCGATCGGCCTAATCCCACACAAACCGATTTTGATTTTTCCATATGGTAATAGCCGAACAAGTAACAGGACAAAGATTTGAGTTTTACATAAAATGTTTTGTCAGAATCAATAAAATCAATCAGGACACAAAGCGTACATTGTAAAAACGCGTAATAATATACATTGTGTGAAAGAATGCGTGTTCTTCGGCCGTGTGTGGGCAGATCCTGATTGGACACACCAGTAGGACGTAGTGTGCCTTATTAAACAGTGCCGGCGGCTTCATGCCCAACAGACGATTTTAATGATCAATAGATGCAATTCCCCAGCTTGATTTACCCAAAGTCATAAATTCAAGTCGTCCCTTTAAATTATTTACCATCAAATTCACCATACATTTCTAAACGGCGTTTTAACATCCTGCAGCAAAGTCTTCAGGCGCTTTTTCTTATGCCAGACGTTTCGGTTGCATTTGTGGCAAACACCTTCATACGTTATCTCGAATGATTCCAAAAGTCTTTTAGTTATGTATGAGCAGAAGTTTCCTACAAAAAGATATCCGACTCTTGGGGTAGCATTTGCATACATTTCCTTAAAATAATGGTTTGCTCACATGTAAGAGATTCCTATTGGACATGTACAGGTCCTAAACGAACGTTAAAAATGTAGCTAGAACTGTGAAAGTATCTCAGGCGGCTTTCACATTAAATTTTATACACTTCTGGAATTCCTTTAACGCCATTTATTCTCCTAATTAATTAGCTAATTAAAACGGACAAATTACACCATCCGTCTTGGTAGCTTTTTATTTGGTTTTAATGTTTTCGGCTTCTGGTGGTTCGGCTGTGCATTTAAAATGGCCTTTTCTGGTCGCATTTGGGGATTGGAAAAAGGAACATGCAACGTTCCAATAGTTCTTCCTCTGCTTTGCCCGATTTATTAGGCAGAATGGGCCATGAATGTATGGTTGTTGAAATATTACAAAATTCGAGACGTTTTCTTCAGTCCAGCAAAAAGTCTCAGGATAATTATCATTGTCATGTTCCCCGGCCGTGATTTACCTCGTTGTTTCCTCGCTTGAATAGTCCCAAAAATTTCGAACGGTTTTGGCTGCCAATTAGCCACGGTTCGACTTTCCTCATAATTCGGCTCTTTTCGACGTGAACCAAGAAAAATTAAGACTTTTCGTACAAATTGCATCCGCTCGCTCCTCGGACCGTAATTTCTGATTTAATGGGGGAGGGGCCAATGGCAGTACGCACTTTGTTTCTGCTGGCTGCTACTGCCTTTAAAACTTTGCTTCTTCCAAATAATTAATCGCCACCATTTATTTAATAAATGAAATCATTACTTATTTGCACCAATTTTTGCGGCAGTCGATTTGCGAAAACCGATTGGAGTGGAGAAGTTAAAAATTGCTTCGAAAATTCGAAGAAGCATGCAAGACATTGATGGTTTCAAGCTTTCATGCCAGATGAACTAAAAAACGTCGCTTTTTGTTGAAAGCTTCAAACGCCTAAGCAAACACCCCTAATGTTCACCTCTTAGTGGCTTCCTGCTCAATAGACAACCCGATAATTAAGAAGTTAGGCTTCTAAGTTATCTGACCACCCGATCGTCGAGCCCAGTCGGCCTCCACACCGTAATGGCACTAGTTTTTTTTATAATTCCGTCATTATTTTTTACGGTCTCGGACTGCTTTGATGATAAGTACCTGCCTAAATGGCTTTTGCTTCTTTGATACGAATTAACCAGCTTGCACTGTTAAGGGAGTCGTGTTTTTCACCGACTTTGTAAATTAGGACAGCAGTGGGGCCCGTTTTGTGTTTTTTTTCTCATCTCTTCGTATTTTTCGTCCGCTGATTTATTGCCCAGCCGTATTTACAGTTACTGGTTTTCTCCGGCGACCCAACCGGCCAATAATCGAATATTTACGTCCACTGTCTTCCCAAAGATCGATTGTTTCAATTCCGGCTTTTTTAATTGAGATATTTTGCACTCCTGAATGGCGGGTGAAAAATCGGTTTTTTAAGTATGCAAGCCGGGCAGTCATTAGCTTTCTTTCAGCAACTCAAGCTCATTCAAGCATTCAAGAATTGGCATTGTTTGAAATACTTTGGAAATGGAAAGTGTTGGGGATTTTGATGCTGTTCACGAGAAAAACACTGCACAGTGTTTCTGAACACGGCTGAAATAGAGCGCAAAGAACAGTCCATTTTTCGATGGTATCGTTCTGGACTACCTTTCCAATGGTCCATGATGTACGACGAAAAGAATTTAAATTTAAATTTAAATATGCGCAGAAATATTTCTTTATAAATCAATCGGACGCAAATGCTTAAAATAAACTTTCGGGCGCTTAGTGCTCATTTAAAATTCCGGCTTTGCCAATAAATTCGCTAAAAGGTGATTCTCGTGAGGTTGTGTCTGTTTCCTTTCGTTATTTTCTCTGTTTTTTTTCTCGATCGCTTTCAGTTATTTTCTGCCGTATGCGTATGTTCGCCCAGCCAGAAAAACCAATTGGAATAATAAAGAATGCCGTGCGCTCAGTGTGGTCAATTCAGAAGCGATGTATGTAAAGCTCAACCAAAAATGCGATTTTTACACCAAATTTATATACACCTGGTGGTCCCAAAATAAGTTACGACCATCAACTTTTTTCATCACAGTTTTCAACAATGGCCGCAAAAGAAGAATGAAAAATCTTGCAATTATTTCATCTTTTCTCATG